TGTGTTTCCTAATCCAACTTCTCCTGCTTGTCAAGAAAAGCTAAGACTCTATTAACTTCATGGAAATAGAAGTGTACGATGCATCCTTGCTCTATCCCCAGAGCTCACAGCCCGGGAACACGGACTTCAGGAGCCAGAAGAACTACGCTTCCAGCGAAGCAGGGCTGTAAAAACGGAGGCTAGTGGGGAGAGCCACCCACCCTTTAGTTACGCCTCTGTAAAGTACCACTCACTTCACACACGTTTATCATTTCATCCTCCTTTAATCCTCACAGGGTATTATTCCCCTTTTATAGATGAGAAAACGGAGGCCCAGCGAGAGTCAGAAGTGTGTGGAATGGTGGGAATTGTGTCCAACTCCAAAAGCCCTGCTTTTCCTTCTCGGTCAACTTTACTGCAAACCGACGGGTAATGGCTTAGGAACTCAGGCTGCTTTCACGCTGAGGTTAGGCAACATGAAATTGCAATAAGCAATGGCTTTTGAGCCCAAAAATAGCAATTTAATATGTTTCAACCTACCATCTCAGCTGAGGCTCTAGCCCATACCTTCCAGGCTGAGTAGACAGGTTGGTTCCAAAATCCCAGAGCAACATGACTCTGTAAGGAACATCATACACCCTAATGGCCACCACTGCTCCGGCCAAGAAACTGGACGTTGTCCATTTCTTCTTAAATGTCACTTCCATTTTGTGATTTAGTCCTTTCTCTGAGACTTTCATGTTTCACCTATCAGGTTATCCAATATTATAGACACACAGCCCCAAATACTGCACAATTACCACCACTTAACTTGGTCACGTTCACGCATTATTCAGAAGAGATCTAATTACAAGGTATTCCAGCGTGCAAAGGGCAGTCAGAACCCAGCCAGGCCAGCCTTGTGTTCATGCCTTGAATCAGTTAATAATAGCATTAATAAGTCTTTCAATCTTTAAATGACATACCACCTCTTTCGCACTCACTAGGTTCATTTGACTTGAATACACAATTTTCCCTCTTCAACTGTCAGGAAAATAGAGGCTTAGGGTATATTAAATTGAAGCCCCAAATCGCCATGGTGTTCCTCCATACGCTTGTTCCATCTGTGGCCTGAAGGAATTGTTACTGCCTATCAAAAAGACAAATTCTTAAGATTTGCACTGAAAGATGCCAAGAGGAGGGACCAGCTGGGGTCCCTCAGGGCACTCGGAGACCATCCTATTCTCAAATGAATGTCGCGTCCCCTGGAGAGGCAAGGGTAAAGGGGAGCTCGACCTAGACTCTCCTGGCAAGAAAATGAGTGAGGGGATGTGGAAGAAGAGAGACAGAGAAATGACAAAGAACCAGGCAACACGAAGGGAAGCTGGGGGACTGAGGAGACACTTTCCCTGTGACTCAGACCAAAGGACAGGAATGCATATTTCCAAGATGAGCCAGCAGCATTCCTCCGGAGAAGCCACGGTTTGTCAGGTCAGTCCAACTGCTGCAAGGACACTAAATATAGGTACGAAGAATGTGTCTTTTAGGAAGGGGCTGGGAGGAAGCAGCGGGAGGCAGGGAGGGTGCTGGAAGGACTGACAGCTCACCAGATTTTCCCGGCAAGGTCATTTGCAAGGCCCTAGGTAAAAATCCCGCACTCGGGCTGTTTCCTTTTGAAAGTGAAATTTCCCTTTCTGCAAGAACCTGAAGACAACATTTAATTTTATTGAAGGCTGCCTCTTCAATGTCAAGGAACATTTTTTTAAATTTAAGAAATTAAAGAAAATGCTTGACTTTTTGGTCACCTTTGACTTCAAGTATAAGACTTACTGTAAAATATCATAATGATTGAAGAATAGCTTTTAAATGGAAAAACAATACAATAAAAGGTCTCCACAGTCGAAATTACGACTATGAATGCTACCATACAACACTCCAACAGAGGACACGAAAACACACACCGAGCTTTACTGTGCAGAAGCCAGCGCACAACACGTTTATTTCCGATCCTGCGTTTCTGTGCTGCAACCTTTCCATACACCCACCTCTTTCAGGAAGTAGTTGCTGGAAACTGTGGATTATTAAGCGGGTTTAAGTCATTTTATATACTTACATGTTTTCTTTTTCCACTTCCAAAACCCCCTAGATCTAAATTTATCTGGAAATGTTTCGGGTTTTTCTTACAGTACAGGATTATTTGACTTGGGACTAAAAGATGATGTTTGCCATCTTCATGGCCTGAAGATTTTCTTCCGACAGTCTTTCCCATACCCAAGAAGGAGGTGGACATGACAAGTCTGTGACGGGTAGGCACACTTAATCACCGCTGCTGCTCAGTGCCATGGAGACAGCCTCAAGACTGTCACCTACACATAGCTGTTACTAAACTGTTGCCCGGGGAAAGTGGAGAGGGGACACATCATTGTCACCGCCCAGAGGCAGCCTCAAGGTCACTTATAAAGTGAGAACCTGGAAGTTATGCCACATTTTCTCTCTCTCTAGGTCCTCCTGACAATGATTTCTAGAAGAGCCAGACCGTGCAATCACAAACAGTACAATCACGTTTGTGGTCACTCCACTGTCTTGTCCTTGTTAGTATTGGGTGTCACAGCAGGGGGCCCTCCTGGGGCTAGTGACCCGTGTGCAAATGCACATCCGTGCACACAGTGCACGTCACTCAACAGTGCCAGCACCCGAGTCCCGGCAGGCACTCAGGTGGCAGGTTTCTATGCCAACCTCTTTGTCAACCCAAGTTTCAGAGCTAAAAGAGCTAGTTAATTAAACTGCAAAGCAGGTCCAGAAAGCTGGTCAATAAGACTCCTATTAAACAAACAGGTATAAAGATTGAGAAGTGAAAAGAGAGGGTGGCTCTGTTCAAGGTCAAACTGCAAGTCAACAGCAGGTGGGAGAACGCGCCCTGCAGTCATGGCTCCTCCTGTGAGGAGCTGGCCATTTCAGAGCTTCTCATCACCCCTGAAAAGAAGTTAACCTTTAAAAACAGGAGCCAACGTAGGTGTTCAAAGGATTTATCCGAGTCATAGTCGCCTCAAGAAAGTGAAGCAGGTGTGTGAGAACTGGAAAGGCCCTGTCATGATCCCACTGACCGACCCCTTGGGTGTTAGGAATGAAGAGACTGAGGCCACAGGGGGGCCCCCAGAGCTGGGGGGGTGGGGCAGGCTGGGTGGAGGACAGGGCTCTGCCCCCTCACTGCAGAGCCGTGCAATGAGGTGTCTGCAACCCGGGAGCTCTGCCTGCAATGCAGGCAGGAGATGTGGCCGCATCAGAGAGAAGTCCCTATCTGTCCTTTACAGGCTTGGCTTCCTCTTATATTACACATGATTTTCAGAAGAAATTTTCCTCAAGTGAAAAAGTGACACCCATTTCCCCTCTGGAAGAACGGAAGTTATTCAGGTTCATCTTACCTGGCGGGGCCACTCGGTCCTGATATGTGGGCTTAAATTCACTGATGGTGAGCAGCATCACCTGGATGGTCCCGATGAAGATGCCAGCCAGGCAGCCGTAAAAGATCACGTAGAACAGAAGGATCTTAACTGCAAGGAGAGCAAAGAGAACACAGCTGTGAGGCAGGCGCATGCTCAGAACGCATGTCTAAGTCTTCCCAGAGACCGACGGGCTTCCGCCCGGGTGGTGTCTTCAGGGATTCCTTCTTCAACACTGATCAAGGTGGTGAACCCCACTCCCAGATGGTAGGGAAAAATGGGGGGATGGGCAGCCCCCATTATAGTGTGCGTATTGGGGGTGGTTGAGGGTGGGGGGGCATGTTCAGCTAGAACTAAGATTCTTTATAGGAAATAATTTCATTCTCTAAATAAAAAAGAAAAGAATTTCAAGAAGATCACCAATAAAATCCAGGGCTGTGTTTGTCCGCTTATGCAATGCATTTCACATATGACAGCAGACTCCCTTAGAGACGGATGTTTTCTGTGCTTGCTTATCCCTCGACATTTCAGCACCACAAGCCAGGCTCTGCTGCTTCTCCAAATGCTCAAATGCCTGAGAGGTTTCATGCTGCGAGGAGTAACGGACACCCAGAAACCGTGGGAAGAGCCCCAGCTCTATACCACCCCGCTGCCTTGGATCTGTATCACAGACTAGGCACATGTCTCTCCCTTCAGGGGCACCAAACAAGAAAAAGAAAGGAGATGCTAGAGTAAAAATGGCAAGCACACTTTTATTTCATCCTCTGCCTGGACCCAGAGTAATGACTGACTCCATGGGCTGCATTTTCTTTTCCCACAGTTAACAGGATAACAGGACAGAGGCCGAGAGCTGCAAAAGCAGGAAAATGAGAAACAGAAAACCCTGCCGCTCACAGATGGAATGAGGCTATCAGTTACCGGTTTACAGGGATTATCTCCCGATTAGCTGCATCGTAACAGGCTGTACTAGGCATCGCCCGGTAGCCTTGCGCCAGCCAAACAACTCAGCGGGAATGCAGAAGGGGGAATGGCGCACCAGGGGTTATGGGTGTGAAACAGGACTGCCCAGGGGTGCCGTGGGGAGTTCTCGCAGCGTCCAGATCGCGTGCAGCAAAGCCTGGGGTCCTTGGGAAAACGCTACAGAACACAGTATTCTTGAAAAGAAGTGTGTGTGTGCAAGTGGGGCGGAACTAGCCAGGATGCCCTCTTGATATATTTAAAAGCCCCTCTTTCCCATCACCAAATAAAGAGTTCAGGGAAACCATGCTCAAGAGCTATAAAAACAAGCGAACCACACATAAAACCACACCAAAATGCTTAATCATAATTGCTTTTCTCCTCTATCAAAAAAGAAAAAAAGAACAAAGAAAAAGGGAAAGATAAGGAAAAATGCACTGTATGAGCTGGCGCCACGGCTGCCCAGCTGGACGCTGCCTCATGGCAGGACAGGGGTTAAGCGCCGCATTCTGTATCCAAGCAGCGGCAGGCTAATGGCAAGGCCGTGACGTCAGGAGATCTGGAAAATTTTTCCAGGGAACGCTCCTCAGAGGTGCCAGAGTTGGTGTAACAGGGTCAGGAAGAGAACTGTTGTAGCCTCTTTTTTTTTTTTTTCTGCCGCCCCCCACCCTGGCTTGGTGTTCTGAGCTTAACCACATTTGGCTCTTCCAACAACTGGAGCATTTTTATACTCATTCCTTGGACTCCAGACACCTAATGCTAACAACATAAAAAGGTATGTAAATGAGGCTATAATTTAAAATACAAATTTAGCAATGGAAAAACAAGCCACTTTGCAAGCATATTGATTAAATTTAAGAAGACAGAGCTTTTCTATTCTGCCTGATACTACAGCCTACAAGCGAGGAATTTTTCTCTTTTGCACCGAGACGTTACTTAGCAAAGTCTCCCATTACTGTTGTGAGGTCACGTGTTCAGACTGGAGCAGGCAGGTCTGGCGGGGCCGGTGCAGTGGGCTCACCAACACGCAGGCCACCAGCGGCTGCTTCGGAAAAAAGCTGGACAGATTGTACCAACCGGCCACAGTTACCCAGAAGATAAGCTTTAGGGGCATTTTTTCCTTTTAAGCAATTTTTTTTCCTTTTAAAAAATACAAGTAATATAGAGGTTTTCCAGTTAGAACAACAAAAAAAAAAGAGTACCCTTCAAAGAGTCACAGGCAGAAGGAAAAAATGGCATCTGGGCCCAGCAGCAAACATAAAAAGCCGCCAATGCCTGTATTAACCGAATAAAAACGTGGACAGCACCAGGTGACCTGCGTACTGCCATTTCTCCAGCAGGTGACAGGCGAGGCTCCTGCGTCCATCTTGGTGAAAATCTACCTTAAGCAAAACTGAGCCAAGGGCAACCTGCCCTCGTCCCAAGGGCATCTGTGTTGGGCCCAGTGCTGGGAAGGTGGCATTTTCCCCATGGGAGACAGCAACTGCTGCCCCTTTCTCTGTCTAAGGAGCTCTGTCGTTTCTTACATTGCCAGAAAGCAATAGACATATTAGCGCAAAATAAAAACTGGATTTTTAGCCCAGTATCTGCACCTTGGAAAATAGAAGGAAAGATGAGACAAGCACACCAGTCCTGGGATCTGCATTCATAAATCAGTGCATTGGCACCTTGCTGGATGTGGTATCAGGACACAAATATTCATTCACACACAACACACTTTCTCTCTCTCTCTTTTTCTCTTGCTGTCATACAGAGGTGCTGCCCCATTAAATGTCGGCTTAAAGAACAAGTCGTTCCATATTGCCGTACCCTCTAAAGCAAATATTATTCTGGAATTGGAATGAGGAAAGAAATATATTTTATGAGAGAAGAAAACACTAGAGGGCAAATTTCACAATATGCCTGGAGTCAATGCAGCCCTGGTCCGCGTGATGAGGCAGGGGTCAGACCACCAGGGCAGGGACCTCCGGGAAATCTGGGAAAGGGGGCCCTACTCCACAGTGCACCCCCCAGGCCTCACTCAAGTTACCAGGAGTTGCTAGGAGATGGCCCTGGCCCGGAGCTGTTCACCGGACACATACCCTGAGTTCTCCAGGTTTTCCCTTCCACAGTAACAAAACAGAGAGCGATCTTTATGCGCGAGAAACTATGGCAATAATCTCATTGAAGAGCATGGTCTCCCCGAAATAAAATAAAAGCTATAAGCCATCACTTTAAAGACCTACATTTAACATGGCTCAGGGCTACCTATGCTCCCCAGTTATACCCTGGAATGAGGTTTCACCTTGACTAACCTTGAAGTATGATGCATTATTAACCCTTTACTTTTCAATCAAGAGAGACCCACCACAGGCCGCATGTTTTTTCTTTACACAAATCATATAATCCAGCTTCTTCCATTTCAAAATGTCAGCCAAGCACTATTTCCCTGACTCATCCTCCTGCCGATGCCCAGAGAGCCTCCCAATCAGGAGCAGGGCATCAGCCCCTATCCAGGGCTCCCTCAGTGGCTGCAGTGGTGGTGCTAGTGGTGTCGATGGTGGTGATGATATTAGAGGAGGAGGGGGAGGTGATGCAGGAGAGGGGAGTTCCCTCCCTCTCTCTCTTCCGCAGTCACGACTCTTATAGATTTGCCTACAACTCTGCCCTTCAAAATGACCTTTTTCAAAAAAACCATGTCACCCTTCCGGGGTAGGGAGGTGGAAAACAAGTAAGGTATCTAATTTTCAATGGGAAAAAGAAACAATATCCATCCAACCAAGCAACAGGCTGCCCAAAATCTCAAAAGAAGAGCTGCTTTTGCCTTTGTGCCATTTATTTCCTAGCCTAACCCTTCACTATAACCAACCCAAGCCACTGATTGTGCATCTGTGTGGACACTGAAAACAACCAGCCTTTGCCATGTTTCGGAGCCTCATGAGCCATTTCTGGGTTGCGATGACTCCAGGGGAGGTCACCAGGGGAAACTCTGGGCATCGCTATGAAATACTGCAGTGTGGACGGATTCCCCACCCCCCGCCTTTTGCGGTATATATTTAGACTAAAAGAAAGGTGCTATAACATGCAACCCCGCCTGCATTAGATCCCGTTACCCTCATGAGGTTCTCTCACAGCCTCAATCTCTCTTTTTTTTAAGGACTTGGGACATGACTACAGGAAGAGACATATCTAGTCTCCCAGAGCTTCACCATTCCCAGGAGGGAAGGGCTCAAGCGATGCTCCGATAGACTGCAAATTACCAGGACAAGCCGGCTACAATATACAGAACCCTCTGCCTGGCGTGCTCCCGCCCCCAGCCCGCGCCCATCCTGGGGACTCCGCATTCAGCACAGGATGACAAGCCCTGCCGAGCGCGATCCAAGCAGAGCCCACCACCCGGTCCCCCTCCACCCTCGCCAGCGCGGCGGGTGCGGAGCGGTCTGCAGAGCCTGCGCAGGGGATGCGCCGCCCGGGAGAGACAAGGCGCCGGGGGCGAGCTGCGGACCCCGTACTTACACCAACTGCCACCGGTCCTGCCCAAAAACTCCTTCTTCTCCGAGTTCCAGATGAATTTCTTCCAGCTGCCCTCCTCCTTGGCTTTTCCGCGGGCCATGCTGGCGGGTCAGCCGCTGCCGCGGGCGCTGAGGGTGAGTGACTGCGGCGTGCGCCCTCGCGTCCTCCCCGGCTGCCGGTCGGCGTCCCCGGCCTGGCTCTCCGCAGGCGCACCCGCCGCTGCCGCTGCGGCTCTCCGAGTGCCAGACGCGCGGCGGAGGAGCAGAGGCAGGAGCAGGAGGAGGGGGAGGCGGCGGCGGGGGCGGGGGGCGGAGGGAGGGACCGCGCAGGCTGGGCGGCTCCGAGCCCCGCACCTATTGGTGGGCGCGCGGCCGCTCGCGGGCTCTCTTTGGTCCGCCACGCACTCCTCTCGCCCCGGGGGGTTCGGGGACTCTGCGGACCCGAAGCTGCCCCTCGGGACGCGTGCTCGGCCCCCGCCTCCTGTGACCTCTGCAGAGACAGACAGGGGGCACGAGAAAGTCAGAGGGAAGCACGGACAAACGGACTGCGAACGCAGCACAAGAGCGCCGGCCACGAGCCGAGAAATTGGCCGAAGGCGCACGCCCTACCTTTACTATATACCGCGCCGTGGCGGCCCGGGGCCACGCCCACTAGAGGCCCGCGTGGCCAATCGCCGACCTGGGGGGCGGGGCCTAGGCCCCGAGGGGGCGGGCGCGGGGCCGGCACAAAGGAGCCGCGGCGGCGAGAGGGGCGGGGGGAGCGGCGAGGAGCGCGCAGACCACCGCGCAGCCCCCCCGCTCGCTCTGCGGGCCGCGAGCCCGGCCTGCCGGGGTGGGCGCCTCGCACCTGCGTCGCCACGCGGCCCGCAGACGCCCGGGGACCCTGGTCTGGCTGTCCTGATCCGGTCCTTTCCACCCGCCTGCCCGCAGCCGCCCGCTCCCGGCCGCCCTCCGCTGCAGGTCGGCGAGGCTCTGGCGGAGCCCGGGAAGGTCACGCCGGGACGCCCGAGAGTCGGGGACTCTGCCCAGCTCCGCCCCGCCTCCCCGCTCCTGCACCTGCCGCCCCCTCCGCGCTCCCCGCCGCTGCGGTTGCAGTTCCGGCCCGTCCCTCTCCTTCCAGGCCAGCCCAGCCGGCAGCCCCGGCTCCGACCTGCCCGGCGGTGTTCTTTGTGGGCGGCCTGAACCACCTCAAGCAGGACGATTGCCAAACCCACCCAGGGCGGCAACCTGCAACTGGAACTGAAGGGGTAAGAGGTGTAGAAGGCTGCCCAGCCCCCATTGGGTCATACCATCGGAAACCAGTCGCCCTGCACAGGCGGCTCATGCCAGTCTAGACCCCTGGTGACAAAGTCTGCACGTGACCCAGCCATCGAGGACTCTCCTCCTCCCAGCTGGTGGCTGGTATTCTCGCTGAATGCCTTTATGCCCCCTTGGGGGCACTGACCACTTTGTTCTGCTGTAAATCCCTGGGCCAAAAGGGATTGGCGGGACCCAGCACAAATGGCGAGTCGTTGGAGGGCAGTCCTGGGCATGCGGTCCCCCTTCCCATCCCTTATCCCCTGTTGCTGAAAAGCCACACTCCTTAGTTTCATGTCCCTCCGCTGAACCCCTGAGCAGCTTATACATCCCTCTCAGGGCGGTGACACAGTAGAAGTCGGCAGGGGTGGCTCTGCAGTCACTGCAGAGAAGCCCCGTCCCCAGGGGGAAACAGACCCTTGGAAAAGGAGATTTCTCGGCCCCATATACAGGAATTACCTAATACGGGGATGCTTGTCTGGGCCACCTTTCTGTCTCCAAGGTCAACCTTGCAGGTCTAAGGACAAGCTTGAACTGATAGAGAATGAGCTCTTTGCGCTAATCCTCAAGGCCCACCTACAAGACCTGGGCAAACCTGAAAATTCCTGAAATTCAGGCGAGAAGCAGCCATGTATCCACCTAGCCCCACAGGGCCTGCTGCATACAGGGCTCTCTCAAGGACAGCCAGAACAGTGTGTTGAGAAAGGAAGCCAGCCCCGTCTTTACCCCTGCAGTGTTTATGTTGGAAAAGCCCCAAGTTGGTGGCATAAGTGCAGGAAGAGGCTGCACCTGCACGTATGATGCCCCTGCTCCCCTCCTGGCAGAAGTTGCCTCACTGAGGAGTTTCCAGCAGGACAGGCCGCTGGGAGGGGCATGTGTTTATTAAGTGCCCACTACCTGTAAGAGGGAGGAAAGCCTGTGGGCAGAGTCAGCAAAAAAGGATGAGTAGGGGCAGAGGTAGCTGTGGGAAGGGAGGAGGGCTTGGGGGTGCCCCCACACTTCCCATCGCCCCCTCCCTTGATTTCCTTCTCTTTCTTGCTCTTGCTGTCTCTTTTCCAGTAGAAGCATGTGGTACAACAAAGTTGGTGGAAAAAGGCTCACAGTGACAGATTTTTCGTTGGAACTCCCATTTTTTCTTAAAAAAGAAGTGTCTTACCTTGGCTCTCTGGGGCTGTGGCAAATGCCCAGTAACTGATCCTGCGTCTGGCAAGGATGAGCTTTTCCTCTTGTCCTTGACGTGCTGTCTTGCTCTGGGGATATTCCCCCCTCAAATCTTAGCTCCCCAGCTTTGCTCCTCATCCCTCCTCTGCATTCCTCTTCCGGAATTCTGACAAGTCCTGAGGGTCGTGCCTTCACAGCCGGTGCAGCATCTCCTTCTAAACCAGCCTCCCTAGGCTTCCTAGGAACCTCCATGTTTCCACCAAAAACTGGTGTTACAGCTAGAGAACATGATCTCAGCCCTATGGGGACCAGCTTCAAACTCCACCCGCCCAGCCACTCCAGACGCCTAGAAGTGCTTCACCCATCTGACCGTGTCACCACGAGCAACCTGGTGAAGAGCCAGGCAGACCTCCATTCACACTCCGGGCTTCAGTACTTGGAGCTGGGTGACCTTGGGCAAGTCACTTGTTCTTTCAGGGCCAGTTCCCTCAGTTGTATAATTAGAGTGATACGTTGTTGCAAGAATTAAATGAGAAATGTGAGAAAGTGTTAAGCACAGGGCCTGGTGCATGGTAAGAGCTGTTAAGTAGCTAGCTTAATTATAATTAGCTGTTTCCATTTGACCTTGTCTAACCTTGGGGCTGTTGCTCTGACTTTGCCACCTGCCCACTCTGATACACAGCCCCCCCCCCCCCCCCCCGGATTCCAAGTTCCTTTAGAAGGTCACCCTGCCTAATTCCCCACCCTCTATGCCACCTTTCCCCTGGCTTTTTACTGTGCTTCCTGCTCTGTGACCTCCTCTAACTCAAGTAATGACTAACTTGAGCACATCGTGTCCCTTGGGCTGTGCTGGGCTGGGCTTTTGTTCTGAGGCCCCTTCTGTGAAGGGTGCTGTAGCAGCAGGTTGAAAGCGGAAAGTGTGTGGTTCCGTGGAGGGAGGGGTGCCTCTGGCAGGTGGAGTGTGTGGCTGGGTGTGGGGGTGGGGGAGGTGTGGACCAGGGAACTAGGAAAGCTGTTCAGTACATGCCTGTGGAGGGCCAGTGTTTCTCTGTGGAGAGAAGGAGGACGAATTGTTTAGCTCACCTTAAAGGTTCAGGGCAAAGAGAACACTTTTTCATGTGTGTGTGTGCAGGCGAGGGAAGAGGAATGGTTCTGGAGCGCTGTGATTCTTTCTGCCCAAGGCTGGTGCTGTGTGCTGTGTGTGGGTGGATAGAGAGGGAAGCAGAGCACAGGAAGGGCAGCAGAGAGCAGAGGGAAGTTAGGGACCTCTGTCCAAGTGAGGATGACAGGTTCTAACTGAGGAAACAGCCAGATGCAGTTTTGTGATTGAAGCAGAATCTACCCTGGTGCTGAGACAGGGCCCCAAAGGTGAAAGCAGGCTAGGACTGTCCTATTTGTAGCAGGATGGCCAGTCAGAAGCTGAGCTGGGAGGAGAGGCGGGAAGATCAACCCCTAGCAGTCAGCTACTTCTGCTCAAGATCAGAGAGGCTAAAATGGAGGTTCACCTGCCTGCAAAAGAGAGAGTCCAACTTGACAGGCTGCGTATGGAGACGGAGATCTGAAAACAGAACCGCCCCCTCCCAACCCACCCAGGGTTTTGGCCCTCTGATCTCCTGGGCCAGACACCATGCTGTCTACTCTGCAGAGGGCTCTGGAGAGCTGAGCTGCCAAGCCCACGTTCACACACGTGCTCACGCACAGCGGGGCTCTGTTCAGCCAGCCCTAGAGTATTTTAAGTACAGAGTGGAGGGGGTGACTGTATGTGTCGCATGGTGACTCATCCTGGCAGCAGAAACTGTGCCGTGTTGAGGAAAATGGCTCAATGGCAGGCTCTGTTTGCAGTAGAAAGCAGCCGAGGTGCACAGCTCTGCCATGGAGGGCGAAGAGGCCTGGGAGAGAAGAGCACCGGGAAATGCTGGACCTGTCACGTCACAGAGGGGGATGTGGGTGGATTCCTGGCTAACACCTAACACTGTCGATCACCGCACCCTGTGCTCCACAGAGCATCATTCTGTGCTGCACGATGGACCCTGTGTGTTGATAGAAAAACAAATCATGCTCTGGAATGATTCTGGTTTCTTAAAGAAGCCAGAGACCCTGAATGGGGACAAGTAGAAATATCTCTTCATTGCTTTCACTAAAGTCATTCTGGCACTTTCCTGTTTCACTGGGTCTGTAATTGAATTCTTGTCCTGGGTGAGGATATAGTATGAAAATACTGAAGAAGGAGCTTTTTTAGCAAGGCCCACTTGGTAAAGTGGACTATTCCTGCCATCAGTGGAAGTCACAGGTTACCTGCTCGCCACCTGAGTCATCAGGCCCTGACTGCAGACTTCCAGAAGTTGCTTTCTGCTCCGCTGTTTCCTAACTTGTAAGTCAGGAAGCTGGTGAGTCCAGAAAGCATGCACGGTGTTGGGGAGATGTGTCAGGATTTCTCTCCACCCCTCCCTGCTCTTTGCCAGTTTGTTCTTAGGTGTGTGAATGGTGGAGACCATAGTAGAGAGCAGAGGACATAAGAGAATGAGAATGATTTTCGTTTGATATTCTCTGGCTGGACCACAGAGGTGCGTGGTCTCTGCAAGCATTCAAATATTCATGATGTGGTGGGTGCTGGGACTGAAAGCCAGTAGGGGCCTGGTGCTACCCTAT